ATCGAGTCAGTTGTCCGGCTCTGAACGCGTCGAGATAACGCGGTTATTGCGGGCGATTTTTCCACGAACAAATTCGGTCGTTACGTAACGTTTTCGGGAGTGACGTATTAAATATCGCGCGATTATAGTTATTCGCGTATACGTGTGCCGGTGGAGTTGTGTCGAGCATCGAGGGAGCTAACAATCCGAGAGGACGCAGCCTGAGAGGATGAGGAGGCCTGGGAGAGGCATCGGGCGCCAGCGGAACAACTTTGGGGTAAATATATATATATATATAAAAGTAATTTTAATTTTTGCTTATACTTAAGTTGTTTTATTTCATTATAGTTTTAAAATAATAATTAGAAAGAAATAAGTAATTTGAAATTTTATAAAAATTATTTTTCAAAAAATGTATAATTATTGAAATAAATGTCTAATTGAATGATGAATAAGAAGTTTGATGTGCGTAAGAATTATTTAATATCAAATTATTTATTTATATGCTTCAGGAGATAACGACGCGCAAAGTGTCGCATCGAGGGAGCTGACAACCCGAGAGGACAGCCTGAGAGGAGGAGGAGGCCTGGGAGAGGCATCGGGCGCCAGCGGAACAACTTTGTGGTAAATAAAATATTATTTCTTATTTTGTGGGAGAGTAATTTTTTTGTTTATTCTTGAGCCTTTTTATTTCACCATTTGATTTGAAAATAATAATTAGAAGAAAAGGAGTAATTTAATCTTTTATAAAAATGGATTTTTGTAAAGATCTTTATCGGAGAATGTATAATTATTTAAGGAAACATCTAATTGAGTAATAAATGAAATGTTCGATGCGATAAGAATTGTTTTAAAATATTAGATTTTTTGAACACTGTTTTAATATGGATTTTATAATTTGCTTGTTACAGAATCAACGCAGCTACGTGGCAGATATAATTCCGCTGTTGCGCATCAGGGTTGGTGAGTGATAAATTAAATATATCTATTGAGGTAATTGACAACTGGAGTTTGCTAGTTAAAGTAGTAATATGACGTAAGATCTTAATATACCTATATATTTATTGTTATGAAATAGAAGATTTTTTCTTAGTTAGTAATCTAGATAATTATTTGAGAATTGATCAGTTTTACATCACTTAAAAATAATTTTGAATTAATATATTATATAAAAAATTATTTTAATAATTTGTAAAATATAAAGAGGTATTTTTACTAATTCTAATTGTGTGGGAAATTTTTTATCCCTTTCGGATCTTACGTCATTCGCATTTATCTGAATTTTTCATCTCTGCATGCTTTGCGCTCTTGAAATAAGAATCGACTATGAATACCGGTCTCGATATATGATATGTATACAGACATCAGTTGAGTCATCTTACTATAACAGTATTCTGTGTATAATAGTAGGAAATAGTAGTGATTAAAGGAAAAAAAAAAGAATTTTACAAGACAAATGTCAAAATATATTGGACTAAAATATAAAATATTTTATGTCAAAACAGATAAGACTAAGATATAAAATATTTTATAAACTAAATTAATGTCTCGACAATTGTGTTTCAATTCTTTTAAACTGGAGAAGCCAATTATGTAAGAAGAATCATATGGTTTCATAAAAAAATTGATGATATTAAAAAGAGAATAGTATATAAATCCAGATAAAATGTATGTGGATCTGAATCGATCAAACTATTTTACTATTATGTTAAAAGTTTCTCGGTAGCTTCTTTCTTCGAACACCATGTATACGTAAATTCCTAGGAGGAAGACTACGGGTTTTTAACGCTGTCTATTACTCGTTATCTAGTAGTCATGTCTCGTTGCTTGCCGGAGTATATTCGTGCGCTGTTCTCGTATGCCGGGAAGTGAATCGCGGAATCGAACGTGTTGACTTTACGCTTTCTTATCTGCCCGTTATATTTAGCTTAAAATTAATCATAATCGTATATAAATAACAGTGTCGTATTTGATTCAGAGATTTCTTCACGTTTTTATCGGAAAAAATCCGTGATGAATGAGCTTTTTTTCATACTTTTACTCTTAACAAATATATAGTTATATTACGTGCATCAGTAAGGTGATCAAATACAAATTTTTTTACAGATTTTTATTAAATAATAATATTTTATTAAATAATAACATTTTATTAAATAATAATATTTATGCATTAGTTCCATGTTATTTATTATATACGAGTAATATTTGTTTTTCTCTCTATTAAATAACATATGCAATTTAAATTCTTTAATTATTTTACTTTTTATCTTTCACGGCAATTGTCGTTTCTTTATTAGCTACAACTAGACTCTTGTCGGCACTTTGTTAGCTATAACTAGAATCTTGTGTGCGCATAGATATATATGTATGTATGAATAAGCAAAACCGGAAAGAATATTTCTCTTGTAAATTTCCTTATCTAACGCAAACCGGTTAAGATGAAGATCTGATAATCAAGCAATTATACCATAAGATTCTTTGATAAATGTTTCATGATATGATTCATGATAAATGTTCAAATAATTGTGATAAAAACAAATCAATCGTTAGCTAGTCAAAAACGATTAGCAAACATTTATAAGAAAATTTATATTCTTAATGCTTATAGATAAACTTATAGATAGATTATACATTTTTGACAGATATATAGAAATATAGATAATGCTTATAGATAGATTATATATTTTTTGCGATTATCGTAGTTAATAATTATAATTAACTAATAAGTGCAACGACATTAAAACGTGAAAGAAGTGGCATTAACAAATAGCAATCCAATTTTATTGGATTGTTATTTATAACCAGCTGCAATTCAACTTGCAAATTTTATGAGTAATCGTGAGAACGTATTGTTTGCTTTCGCTCTTACAAAGTCTGTGCCTGTAGACAATGGCCTTCGACAACGCTAATTCCGGAAGACTCTGCATGTTGCTATGCTATTGCTTCGATGTTTTCTTCATCGGGACTAGTAATTTATAAGATTGACCTTACATTAACAAACGCGCGTTATTTGAATCGAACAGTAAACCTCTTTATTCGTGTAACATATCAAGCTCAAACGAACTCTTTAGCAATTTATTGAAATATCATCAATAGTAATTTTTCTCTTTAATACTTTCAACATATTCAAAATTCTTAGCGTTCCTCATTTATATCTCGCTCGCAATCTGTTCCAATGACATATATGCAAGATGAAAGTGTCGTTTTGAGGAATATAGAAATGTTAAGAATATGAAAGTTTTATTGTAATTCT